GCGGCAAGTCACTGATTTTATCACTGAATCATTCATTCAATTGATTCGTTCGAACGACTGAATCATTCAGGAATGAAGCAAGTGACTGTCTTTATGAACTGACAGAAATCCGTCGTAGCGACGGAACTTTAATCCCTGCGGTAATCTTGTGCTGCGTTCACACAGAGTGCATTACTGGTAATGTTACAACTTCTCATACCGGTAAATTGCCAGAATGAATTTCCGGTATTTTTGAAAAGGTCCTGTTCACACGTGATCTCTTAACGGTAATTTACCAGTAAAGACTGTATGTGCGATAGGGGCTAATGTTGCTTTTGGGCTGATTTGTAAACTCAACCAAACATATCAAAGTGCCATACACTCAGTGTTTACACTTTTCAGGATGTTAGCCAACAAATGGCTTACTTATAGCTGACTGTGCACATTAAACTGGGATACAAAAGACTGTTTTAAAATAAGAATTACCATCAGCGATCTTTGGCAATTTAAATAAGAATTCTGAAATAAAACACTGTTTCTTACACCTAGCTGAAAGAGGAACTGGTCAGGTCATGTGATTTACCTCAACAATGATCTCCTTTCACATGGGTGTGTATTTGTGTTTTTCTTACCGAAGACACCTGCTCAAGCAGCTCAAACTTTTTTATATTAGCATCCCATTTTACACGTAGTCCATTGATTTCAGGTTTCAAGCAGTCCCACACTTTCTCTGGACTGCCATTGACAATCCCCTCCCCCTTATACCTAAAAGCCCCAAAGAACACACAATCACTGCTCATGCATACGGGACAAAGGTTAATGTCAATGCTGCCATGATGTTTGCACACGATGTCGATGACAGTTAGAGAAAAAAAAAAAGTAAAATATGCAGATTATAATGTGAATATAAATAAGAAGTCAATGTAAATACAATTAATAGTTGTATAAAATATCACTGTACTATATATAATGTTTATTAAGGAAATATTACAGGGTTCTCACCTTTTCAAATGTATATGACTTTCATTTATATGTACATATATTTTTGTTTAAAAAATACAAATTTGTTCACAAAGTTTCATTAAGTTTTTAGTAAAGGTGCAACTTTGTTTTGTTCCGTTTAATCTAAGAAGGGAAGTTTTCTGAAAAGAGGACAAGCCCAAAATAATGAAATTCTGGGAAACATATTGTTTCACACATTCTTACAAAAATGTAATTAAAAACAAATGAAAAAAAAAACTAAAACTGTTATTTACAAAATTAAAACGATTTTTTTTTAACTTAATAAAAGTAAGAAATGAATCAAAATGTCTATAATAGAAGCAGCATCCATGTATGCCATAAACAAAGCAAATATTTCAAAACAATTAATTTTCAGTACATTATACAAAAATCATCACGTTTGTCAAGGCCGTGATCAAATCTTTAGGTCTTCCAGACTTAAGAGCTGAACAATGTTTTTTTTTTTTACAAATTCAAGTATTCAAAACTAGCCCTAATTGAAGACTGAGCTGGTGATTACACCAGTTAAATATTTAGAGCTAAGCATAACTAAAGCAACATATTTTCAACAGAGAAATGTCCTTGACTCTTTATGATTTCTTTTTCATTCCCTGACAGCACGAGTATGGATATGTATTGATCTCAGTCTCACAGGCTGAATAATGTCTAATTTTATGAGCGCATAACATTTCTCACATAATAGCTATGTAACAGGAGTTTCACTAATTAAAGTATTTATACAACACCAGCACGAGAAGTCAGCACATATGACGTCACGGTGACAAATTTAGGATCATAGTGTAATTTACAAATTTATGCTTACACATATCCCGCGAATTCACAAGAGGGTCTCCAATACACCACAACATCATTCTAGAAATAAAACACAATGTTTGTTTATAGACCAACAACTGCAAAAGATGACAAAATGACACAGTTCTGTTGAATACTTACAGTTTTCTTGCATGTTTTCCATCCGGACTCGTCTTTTCTGTAGCTCAAGAGACGGTCTTCCACTGATCTGGCCGTGTGTATGTAATCCATGACGATGGAGAGTGGTTATATAGTTTATTTTATATTACTTTAACGCCTGTCCTCTAACAGCACATGTATTCAACGCGTTTTGTCGCGAGCGACCGGTTGCGATCTGCTAAATAGCGTCAAATTAAACAATTTACCTTCGATTCTTCCGGGATCTTTGTTCAAGTACGTCCAATATCCATACACTAACAGTGGCTACAGTTAAATATGCCAGTTTCTGGTATAATAGGTCAGATGTTTTCGGTTCATTCATTAGTTACAGATGATCACAGTGACTGTCATCGTGACTGCGACAGATAATAATCGATACAGTTCAAGAGATCAACGGAACGATGCAATTAAACATGCGCGATCAAAACAATAAAAAAAGAGACAATTAACCCGTCTAACGCCATACAATCATCATAATTAAAAAAGAAATTAGTAAAAGGCCACTTCCTTAGTCAGTAGCTCGTCAGAAGAATGTTGCATTCTGGGAATTTGAGTTTTCTGGGTCGATCCTGTTTTACGGTACATTGACTCGTCCACATTGTCGCATGCATTATTAAATAAACACAGACTCATTATTTAAATATGAATTAGTTTCATCAAAACATTTTATTAATATCACATTTAGATGAACATGGGGACATTTTAAATAATTAAGCTACTTTTGTTTGCGCAGATGTTGTCATTTTTTCATTTTTATCTATAATAAATAGAATTCAGTAGTATTAACAATGGTTTTGATTAGTTTTGCTGTGTTGAGGTATATTATCTCAAAACATTATATCCTTTGATGAAGTTACAGAAATCAGTAGGCTACATCAAAAGTTGACAATCTCATCTAAACTCATTTTTTAAAATGCCATGGATTTTAAAAAGCACTAAAAATTACATGACTGTCAATACCTACAGTGCAATCAATAATTAAGGTTTTGTGCCTGAGCTTGACAAGAACATTTTTGCCCTGTCCTTTATAAAAATACTTCCTTATAGCTTACTTGCAACACACACATATTCATAACCCTCCTGGACTGCAGAGTGTTTTTTTTTTTAAACAAAAATTCCTGTTTAATGCCAAAGCTGTTACCACATTCAGAAATGTAATAATTTTGGGATTGGGCCAGTGGCGGTGACGGGCCAGTGACGGGCCCCAGTGCAGGCTATTACTACGGGCCCCCTGGGGTGCACGGTTATGAAGCACATACAAACACACAGCGCTCGTGTCTAGAAGGGAACCCATATAAGCAAATTTGTGCCTAACCTACTTAATTTAGACCAACTAAAATCAGTACCTAATAAATATAATAAATAATTCACATATCAGACAAAATTGCGTTGCAGCAATTCCTTTAAATTTTAAGGTATTTAGAGCAGAGCAACATAAAAATCAGAAAAAATAATTTTTGTTTAGTATTTGTTAGGCCTGTTTAAGGCTTTTCCTTATTTTTATAGTTTAGATGGTGATTAAAAAATGACTCGCCATCTCCTCGTTGGACGTGCCTTTAGAGAGAAATGCATCTTTGCGGTTTACATAATGAAAGAGTTTTTGTTTTCGATTTTAATTATTTTGTTTTAAAGTAGTAATTTAAAG